CGAGGCGAGATCAGGAAACAGGAACGGGAGGAAAAGACGGCCAAGAGAGACAGTAGCGGGAGTAGAGTAGCGGGCCTTAATCGCAGTGAGGTACGCAGCAGCGGTGCGAACCTGAGTGAAGTGGACCTCCTCTGACTCAGGGAGGAGGCTGCTGAGTGCGATGCAGGCCGCAGCGTCACGTGACGTCCAAGCCGTCCTGTCAGCGCGCTGACGGGCAAAGCGAGCCGTAGCAGCATCGTCAGGGGCAGGACCTAAAGCGGCAGGCTCGGGGGGCTCGGGGAGGTCACCAGTAGCGTGCGACCAGAGGGTCTCGCCCCCCTGGACTTGACTCTCTAACAGACGGCGAGCACGAAGAAGCCAGACGGAAAAGTCAAGAGGTCTACCGTCAGCGTCGAAACGAAGAACTCGCGGAGTCGCCATAGCGAAAACTAACGCGAACGAGCAGGCGAGTAACAGCAGGAGGTAAGAGGCAAATTAGGGTGCAGGTGGGACTTAGTCGCAGCGGAAGAGCGGGCTAGAGCGACGGGCCAGGGCGTAGGGTCGACGGGACGGGGGAAAGGGCGGGCACGATGCGACGGGGCAGGGCGACGCGACGGGGCAGGGCGACGCGACGGGGCAGGGCGACGGGACGGGGAAGGGCGACGCGACGGGGCAGGGCGACGGGACGGGGAAGGGCGACGCGACGGAGCAGGGCGACGGAACGGGGCGACGGGACGGGGCAGGGGCAGGGCGACGGGACGGGACGGGACGGGACGGGACGGGGCAGGGCGACGGGACGGGACGGGGACGGGACGGGGCAGGGGCGACGGGACGGGACGGGGCGACGGGACGGGACGGGGACGGGGACGGGACGGGGCAGGGCGACGGGACGGGACGGGGACGGGACGGGGCAGGGGCGACGGGACGGGACGGGGCGACGGGACGGGACGGGGCAGGGCGACGGGACGGGGCAGGGCGACGGGACGGGGCAGGGCGACGTGACGGGGGGAAAGGGCGCGACGCGACGGTGGGAAAGGGCGCGACGCGACGGGGGGAAAGAGCGCGACGCGACGGGGGGAAAGGGCGCGACTCGACGGGGGGGAACGGGCGCGACGCAACGGGGGGAAAGGGCGCGACGTGACGGGGGGGAAAGGGCGCTAGGCGACGGGGGGAAGGGCGCTAGGCTCGGCACTAGGCGCGGTAACAACGGAACCGGTACGAACGAGAGGTAGGATCAGGCTCGGGAGATACGAACGGAGAACGGAGGAACGGGATCCCACAGGATCCTAACCGCTCTGATACCATGTCAGAATGAGGAATGGATGATGCATTGATGTTGGTTGGGGTACATATAGCTAACCCTAAGTTTTGTACCCCCTAAGACAAACCTCACTATAGGCTACAACATTTGACACCTCTCTTAACTACAAGGACTCAACGCACTGCAACACCAACAGCTTTGGTAAAATGGTCAGGCAAAATACTTGGCTGTTCGATTGATTTGTTTGCACCCTGATTTTTAAGAGCAGTTTCTGTGAAGCACCCTTACTGAAAGAGTAACAGCTGGGTGTTGGCCTTACGAGGAAGAGTACCCCAAATCCTATCCAGAGGCCTGGCCAATAGTTGACCTTCAGGGCAACAGGACCACCAGGCGGGGCACTTGGGGCATGCGATGGGGCCTAGCAGGGGTGAGGTTGATATGGCTAGGACAGGTGCGGCTTGCATGGGCGGCTCAGAAGAAGAGGACCTAACCTCGCAATGATTTAATGTTATTTGGTATTAAAGAAATGGACAAGAGGGAGACATACAAAATGGGTTTGCCAAAACTCAATCAAGTATCCATTATGGTGCAGAACTACTCTAGCTAGCCTTTGAACTTCATATGCTATAATAAGTGTACTTGGAGTACAAGAATAATGTACACCAATAGCGTTTGCTAGCTGGCATTCACAAAATCTCTCAAGTTTGTATACAGAAAATAAAATAAAAATAGCATATTTGCTAATCTGAAAGCATTTGAAGAGTATTGTACAAAACCGTAACCGAGACTATTCTACTTGTTCCGCATGAACTTGCCAGCAACGGTGCCGTTACCCGCAGTAGTGTTAACGAACATCATCACATATAGGGGCTGCATCTTCCACACCTTACCCCAGGCGTTGCCCTTGGGAGCACCAGCAGGGCGAGGCTGCGGCAGAGCGGTCTCATTCACAGTGTTGCTCAGAGTGTACACCTGGGGAGGGTTCGCGTTCTTCCTCGAGGCTTTCTGGGGCGCGTTCACCCAGGTTCCGTTCAGGTCAAGTACCAACTTCTGCTCGACAAGCGGGTCGCACGGATCGGTGCTGTAGATACCCTGGACGGTGGGCGGCTCGGAGGTTCCGGAAATGAGGAGGCCATACGTCATGGAGTTGGTTGTGTTGTCCGCTGTTGAAAGAACGTTGGCGACGATAGATCCGCGGACGAAGGGAAGGGGCTTGCACGGGTGCACGGTTCCCATGTAGCGAGCTGAATAAACATGGAGAGAGAGAGAGAGGGAGGGAGGGAGAGAGAGAGGGAGAGAGAGAGAGAGAGAGAGAGAGGGAGAGAGAGAGAGGGAGGGAGAGAGAGAGAAGGAAAGGAAGAACCGGATAATGAGATGGGGTTTGCCGCGTTGTACGGACAGTTGACGAGAATGGCTGACGATGAAACTGAAGGAATCGAACGTGCGGACGCTTACCAAGCACAGCAGGCTTGAAAGGCTTTTTTGGCGGACCGGGCTTGCCGCCGCCGGAACCTCCGACAGGCTTGCCACCGCCGGAAGCTCCGGTGGAACCTCCGTCAGGCTTGCCGCCGCCGGAACTTCCGCCGGAACCTCCGTCAGGCTTGCCGCCACCTCCGCCGGAATTTCCGGGACCGGTGTCGCCGCCGGGACCTTTACCGGGTGGTGGACCCTTTGACTCAGCTCCTGAAAATACCAGAATGTACCGACAGAGAGAAAGGGGGCATGGCATTGAGCGATTGATAAGGAATGTGAATGGTCGAGCGCGGCATGCTGTCAACTATGGGAAACTGAGTACATTGTTGGACGACGCTTGAAATAAACTTCAGTTAGAATACCCAGAAGACATACTTAGGAGTAAGAGTGCGAAGCAGACGAGGACGATAGTGAGTCGGGCCATGAGAGTCTTCAGAGGAAACAGACCAAAAGATTTTAGACTTGAAGAGATTGTACGTTCTGGTATGTCAGATCGAGGGTGAGGTGTGAGAGGGAGAAGAAAGCATTATTATATCCGTTGAAGTTGGAAGGGTGTGATTGTTGGTTGGGAAGGAGTTGGTGGTTTGCTGGGCCCTGCCCTGCTTCCTGCCGAATACAGAGGTCCAGCGGCCCACCTGACCTGACCTGGAGCAGGCGTTGTTGGTTAGGCTTCGCTGCTGTTTTTCACTTCATGGAAAGACAACAGACACATAATCTTTACAAAGAAAAGCATCGCACAAGAGGAGAGGAACGGGAAAGAAAGACACCAGAAACAACTCAAACGCAACACCCATAAAAAGCCCCATAAAAATACTCTATAAAGAAAAAACCCAACCAGGATCCCCTACCAGACGTCCCATCTCGCACCCCATTCCCCCTCCCCCCCCCCCCCCCCCCCCCTCCCCCCCAAGTCACATCTGCACATCCACCATGTAGGGGGCCTCCACCCAAAGAGGCCCGCCCTCCACCTCGACATCGTCCCTCTCCCGATCCACCAAGTCCACATTCAACCCCCCCATGGAAGACGCCGCCCGAAGCAGGATGACACGAGCTTGCGCCCGTTGTAACGCCACTCCGATGAGCGCCTTCAGAGACCCCAAAAGGTAAGCCGAGAACGAAGTGTCATCCTCCCGACAAGCCCCCCGTGACACAGCTAGCCCCACGTGCGCGTCCCCCTGCTGTCGAAGCCACCGCCGGAAGCGACCGCCGAGACACCCCCACGTCTCCACTATCAAAGGGGTGAACTGCACGCCTCGGTTCCGTGCAAGAAGAGGCGCGTAATCCCCCGTTTTGCGACGCTCCCACTCCTTTGCCGCCACGCCTATAGACCGCCCGCACTGCCCTAGCAGAGATGGAGACAGTGATAGCGGGTCCGCGACACTAATCTCTAAAGCATGAGCCTCCCCAGCCATTGGTCGTCGCACCGCTACGTCAACCCGCTTCCCCGGCAGCACCGCACTATCCTCCATCGTCACCACCCCCCCTGACGCCTTAGCGATCTTTGCCACCGCAAACTTCACCTCATCATGCACCCGAGATGGACCGTGTTGGTGCTTGCATCTCAGCGCATGATGCGGGTCTGCTGGGTCATCATACGCTGCGCCACAAACACAAGCATCATACGCTGCTGTTTTTCTGTACTGTAGTGTTGCAATGCTGCTCGCGCTAGCTTCACGACGCATAATTCACATCGGATCGCGTGCTTCTGAAGAAAAGACTTTGAAACGGGTTGTGGCTTGTCATTTAGGCTGCCCCTCGAAGTTCTGATTAATACGTTATTCTCTTTAGTCAGGACTTCGAGAATGTTAGGATTGTATAAATTGGACAATTTGGTTTTTCTCTGAAATAATTACATTGACCAAGTTTTCTGCATGTGTCCGTCTATGTTGGTATTTTGTCGTTCGTTGCGGGGCATAATCGAAACGAGTTACTCATATCATTTCTGCCCGAAAGAGGTCCACTCTCACAAGCACCAGTTTGGCCAACTCTTCATTGTTTTTTTCGGATATTACAATGTAGCACAATTACGCAAGGAAATTGAGTGGGAACAGGAAGAGAAGAGGAAAGGAGGAATAACGTGAGGAGAAAAAAGGAAAGAAGAAGAAAGAAGGAAGGGAATAGGGAGAAAACGGTAGGAGGAAGAAAAACCGGGAAAAAGGAAGAAAAATACAAGACGCAACCTCAAGAAAACCCCAATAGCACACACAATTGAAACCCCATCTAACCATCCCATCAAAACACCCCAACTGCACTCCCATTGAACCAAAACCCCCCCTAAACCCACCCTCTAAACCCGCATGTCTACCAAGTAGGGTGCATCCGCCCACGGAGCATCCCATCCCATCTCCTCCTCAACATCCTCCCGCTCCACCCAAACAGCCTCTGGACCTCTCATCATCGACGCCGCGCGTAACAAGATCACACGCGCCTGAGCCCGCTGCAAAGCCACACCCACGGCCGCTTTGAGTGAACCGAGCAAATAAGCCGAGAAACCCTTTCCCGTAGCTCGCGCCGCCCCTTTCGTCTTTGCTATCTCGATCTGCGCGTCACCCTGCTTCTTAAGCCACCGTCCAAAACTCCCCCCCAAGCATCCCCATGTTTCAGCAATGAGAGGTGTGAACTGCACTCCCCTATGCCGCTGTAGAAGCGATTTGTAGTCCGCCGCCTTCCGCTTTTCTCTCTCTCTCGCGGCAAAACCCACCTTGCGCCCAATCTGTCCATGGTGCTGCGCGGATAGCGAGATAGGGTCTACCACACTAACCTCCAGCGCGTGCTCCTCCCCCTCCCTCAGTTTCCGAACCGCCACATCAACCCTCTTCCCTGGGAGCAACGTGTCGTCTTCCATGGTCACAATCCCACCCGCACCCTTAGCTATCTTCGCCACCACAAACTTAACCGCATCGTGAACACGAGAAGGTGCATACTGATACTTGCAGCGAAGGGCATGATGCGGGTCAGAGGGATCAGCAAACTCAAACCCACACGCGCACTTGCCGGCCACTATCAGCTGCTGTATAGGGAGGCCTAAGCGCATGGACGCGCAGATGCTCCACTCGGCTGCGGTGAAGGTAGCCTCCTCGTGCGAAGGAACGGCAGAAACCCACGCCCCAGCCCCCGGGCCCTGAAGGGATGTCAAACGGGCCAAGGTGGCATCGTTGTGGGCCATGCCTCGAAGAGATTGAAGGCTCTCAACCGCTAGGCGACGGTGTTGTGTGGAGAAGAGCAGCACAGGGGGGTCAGCAGTGCACAAGGCAAGGGGTGGCATCTCCTGCCGGACCGACTGTGGAAGCAGATCCACTGCTCTCGCAAACCAGGGGTCCAACAAGGTCGTAGCCTCGGGCGTGCGGAAAAACTCCTCAAACATCCGCTCCTCACCTGCCACCCCCAACCGAGCCACATCGCTCACTGCTTGGCACCAGCCACATGCATACGACAGAGGACTAAGGTCAGCCGCAGATCGAATGCCGAACCCCCCGAGTCTGGCAGGAAGGTGCAGCTGTAAACGAGCCATCTGAGACTTCCCCGAATCGTGATCCCAGGTACTATCTGGAAACAGCTCCTCGAAACAATCTTCCAGCTTCGTGTCCCAGTCCCGAAAAGCCTCCACAACCTCAGGTCGTGGAGGCATCGTCCGTGTGAGGTAAATCGGGCGCGCTGACACTGCGATCGCCAGCAAATGGGACGCAATCTGTGGGTGGTCAAGCAGAGGAAGCCAAGGGACAGGTGCATGCAGCTCCGTCAGCCGGCGACGCAGGCTAGCCACCTCCCAGTCCTCCTCCCCAATGGGGACCCCTACCACAGTGAGCCCCGTCCATGTCTGCTGCATGCCGGGCGGGACGGTCTCATTTCTCTCCTCCCCATCCTGGTTCCTCCCTCGCTCCCATAGCTTACACTTATGCGGCTGCACCTCCAAACCCAGCCCGTCCAATCGTTCCCGCAAGGCCTCATAGGCTGCTAAAACCCGCTCCCTAGGCCCCAGGATATACGTATCATCAGCATAGCTGAGGAAGAGTAAGTCGGCGAACTCTGTTTTGGTTGGTTCCATAACCAGCTGCTGTGTGAACGCGAACAGAAACGGAGGCCAAAGCTTCGAGCCCCTTGCCTCGAGCCCCGCTCGGAGGCCAAAGCTTCGACAAAAGGGCCCGCACGGAGATAGAGGTCGCTAGGAGTGCCATAGAAGACACGCAGAAATGGAATCAATCCCTTGAAAGGCGACTGTCGAAGACCTTCAAACATTTCCCGCCGATGGAAGGAGTTGAAAGCGTTCGCCACGTCAATTTGCAGCGCGCACCACGACGGGTGAGTAGAGATGGCGGAGCGAAAGGCATGTGCGAGGACTTCCACTCCCGACCTGGACCCGACTCCAAACTGGTTACACGGAGCAAAGTGCGACATCATCTTCGGACGAAGCACGATGCATATGGCCCGAGATAGTATGCGGGGGAGCACCTCGCCTATAGCCACCGAACGAACGTCACCATTCGGCTTCGACAGGCCCACCAGGTTGGACGCAGTGAGCCAGGGTCGCACGCGCTCCGCTACCTCTCCCTTGGTCCACTGGGTGAAGGCCTCTAGCAGATGGGGCAGGTACGCGGGCTCAGAGAGAAAAGTGTCGCGCAGGTGCTCCGTCACCCACCCCGACGGTCCTGGTGCGGACGCCCTAGCCGCTGAGTGGATCGCCTGGCCGAGTACCTCCACTGAGAGCTGTGGGATAAGGGAAGGCTCGACTGTCTCCTCCTGCACCCACCCAGGAATGGCGGACTCGCACGATGGGTGTTTCGCTCGTAGCGCGTCCACCATGTGCTGAGAGGGCTGAGCGATGCTACCAGCCGTAAGGCACGCCAAACCCCGACTCCATTCTCCCACTTTGCACCTTGTACGGCAGCGGGACAGGCGCACTGCATCAGGATCATGCTCGGGTGGGGTGAAGGACAAGGGGCGAGCCGCAGGTTGCATCGCCGCCACCGCCAACTCAAACAGCTGCTGCCACTCCCCAGCCCAAAACTTCTCCAACCGCTCCCTAATTGCCGCCCTCTGCCCCTGGCCTTGCCCGGTTGGAATCCCCAAGAAAAGACGAGGGAAGGCCAAAAACACCAAGGATGCCGCCTCGTCTGCTGCCTTTGACTGGAGCCGCTTCAGGATACAAGCTAGTGCATCAAGCACCCCCAGTCTTGCGCGCTGTGGGATGCGACGCATGATTCTCCCTGGCACCAATTCGATCCCGAAAAACGACTCCCAGTCCCATGTGGGAACTGCGGCCCACACCTCTTCACTGATATCCCGTGGTGGCGGAGGTTCGCTGTCCGAGTCGTCTGTGACGTCGCGGGTCAACCCAAGCGCCTGCGCACGACGCTGGGCGTCCGCTGCCCTGCAGGCCGACATATGACGCGTGGCCTTTCCTCTCTCCGTGAAAGTGCGATAACAGGTTTCGCACGGGATGCGGGGCGGGGGTGTCAGCATAGGGTCTGGGTGCTCCTCTCCACTCGAACACGCCGGCAAGACCTGTCTGCTCGACTCCATCTCCATCTCCCCCTCTGACAGCCTCGCAAGCTGCCGCCAATCGGGCAGCTCCTGCTGCCCTCCGCTCTGCAGCTGCTGCTGCCCTCCGCTCTGCAGTTGCTGCTGCCCTCCGCTCTGCAGCCGCTGCTGCCCTCCGCTCTGCAGCTGTTGCTGCCCTCCGCTCTGCAGCAGTTGCTGCTGCCCTCCGCTCTGCAGCTGCTGCTGCCCTCCGCTCTGCGGCTGCCACTGCCCTCCGCTCTGCAGCTGCTGCTGCCCTCCGCTCTGCAGCTGCTGCTGCCCTCCGCTCTGCAGCTCCTGCTGCCCTCCGCTCTGCAGCTGCTGCTGCCCTCCGCTCTGCAGCTCCTGCTGCCCTCCGCTCTGCAGCTGCTGCTGCCCTCCGCTCTGATTGGGCTGCTGCCCTCCGCTCTGCAGCTGCTGCTGCCCTCCGCTCTGCAGCTGCTGCTGCCCTCCGCTCTGCAGCAGCTGCTGCCCTCCACTCTGATCGGGCTGAAGCCCTCCGCTCTGCAGCTGCTGCTGCCCTCCGCTCTGCAGCTGCTGCTGCCCTCCGCTCTGCAGCTGCTGCTGCCCTCCGCTCTGCAGCTCCTGCTGCCCTCCGCTCTGCAGCTGCTGCTGCCCTCCGCTCTGCAACTGTAGCTGCCCTCCGCTCTGCAGCTGCTGCTGCCCTCCGCTCTGGTTAGGCTGCTGCCCTCCGCTCTGCAGCTGCTGCTGCCCTCCGCTCTGCAGCTGCTGCTGCCCTCCGCTCTGCAGCTGCTGCTGCCCTCCGCTCTGCAGCTGCTGCTGCCCTCCGCTCTGATTGGGCCGAAGCCCTCCGCTCTGCAGCTGCTGCTGCCCTCCGCTCTGCAGCTGCTGCTGCCCTCCGCTCTGATTGGGCCGAAGCCCTCCGCTCTGCAGCTGCTGCTGCCCTCCGCTCTGCAGCTGCTGCTGCCCTCCGCTCTGCAGCTGCTGCTGCCCTCCGCTCTGCAGCTGCTGCTGCCCTCCGCTCTGCAGCTGCTGCTGCCCTCCGCTCTGCAGCAGTTGCTGCTGCCCTCCGCTCTGCAGCTGCTGCTGCCCTCCGCTCTGCAGCCGCTGCTGCCTCGTCCCCTCCGGCGGCTGTCGGCCTCTTTCCCGGCTCCCCTGCTGTCCGCCCGCCTGCAGGTCCCACCGGCCCCCCACCGGCGGCTCCCTCTGCCTGTCTCTTCCTGCCACCCTCCGACGCCTCCGTTCCTGCCGCCGTGCGAGACGTGGCACGACTAGGGGAGAGTCGACGTCGGTCGAGCACGTACTGTGCCGCGTTATTCTCTCAGGTAGGCCACTCCTGCGAGTGTTGTGCTGTTGTTGCAAGCGCCTACGATGCTCTTCCCAAGCTGCCCTCGCAACCTCTGATGCCACTTCGGCGGCCAGACTCCTGTCGCCTACTTCTTCTCCCCCCTCTTCGTTGACGGCCGAAGGCTCTGAGACGCCGCTCTGGCCAGCCCGGTTGCTGGGGGGGTTCTTGGGGGATTGTCCACCTGTAATTGCTGAAATCGGGCGGTTCGCTTCAAAACACCGCCTCTTGGGTGGTTTGCCGAAGAGGCACAGAATGTCTTCGTGGCGGAGGCGACAGATGCGTGGGCTCTGGAGCGCACCCTCAGGCCCCCCCCGTCTTTTGTGGCCAGCCTCTAGGCGGAGCGACCCACTGACTGCTGCCGTGCTTGTCCCCCCTTTGCCCCCGATGGCCTCCGTCATGCCGTTGTCTACGCTGTCTCCCGCCCAGACCCCGGGGTCCCCGGGGCCTGGGTCGTCTTCCATGGTGGCGTTTCAGGTGGTACCTGGTGGTTCCTGCGGCGATTCCTTACTGCTGAGGCGAGATCGCGCTGCCTGGTGGCGTCGAGGCGCTGCTAAGGGGCGATTTCGCGCTGCCTAAGGCGTCTGGCGCTGCTGAGGCGAGATCGCGCTGCCTGGTGGCGTCGAGGCGCTGCTAAGGGGCGATTTCGCGCTGCCTAAGGCGTCTGGCGCTGCTGAGGCGAGATCGCGCTGCCTGGTGGCGTCGAGGCGCTGCTAAGGGGCGATTTCGCGCTGCCTAAGGCGTCTGGCGCTGCTGAGGCGAGATCGCGCTGCCTGGTGGCGTCGAGGCGCTGCTAAGGGGCGATTTCGCGCTGCCTAAGGCGTCTGGCGCTGCTGAGGCGAGATCGCGCTGCCTGGTGGCGTCGAGGCGCTGCTAAGGGGCGATTTCGCGCTGCCTAAGGGGTCTGGCGCTGCTGAGGCGGGATCGCGCTGCCCCGTGGGCGTCGAGGCGCTGCTAAGGGGCGATTTCGCGCTGCCTAAGGCGTCTGGCGCTGCTGAGGCGAGATCGCGCTGCCTGGTGGCGTCGAGGCGCTGCTAAGGGGCGATTTCGCGCTGCCTAAGGCGTCTGGCGCTGCTGAGGCGAGATCGCGCTGCCTGGTGGCGTCGAGGCGCTGCTAAGGGGCGATTTCGCGCTGCCTAAGGCGTCTGGCGCTGCTGAGGCGAGATCGCGCTGCCTGGTGGCGTCGAGGCGCTGCTAAGGGGCGATTTCGCGCTGCCTAAGGCGTCTGGCGCTGCTGAGGCGAGATCGCGCTGCCTGGTGGCGTCGAGGCGCTGCTAAGGGGCGATTTCGCGCTGCCTAAGGCGTCTGGCGCTGCTGAGGCGAGATCGCGCTGCCTGGTGGCGTCGAGGCGCTGCTAAGGGGCGATTTCGCGCTGCCTAAGGCGTCTGGCGCTGCTGAGGCGAGATCGCGCTGCCTGGTGGCGTCGAGGCGCTGCTAAGGGGCGATTTCGCGCTGCCCAAGGACAAGTCTCGGAGCTAGCGCAGTTTGGCTATGACAGGCAAATGGTCTGACATTCATTCCAAACCCCGTAGCTCTAGGGAGGCACAGTACTTAAAACATCTTCTGGTATACCAGCACGCGCAGTTACAACTCTGAAAATTCGCTATTGAAAACTGTTACAACGGCCAGGTGGAAAGTGGGTGCTAGTGGGCCATGTTGAGCACTCTGCCATTTTCGGACTACAGTGCGAGCGTTTCATTCATGTGAATGTGTTCACGTCGTTACAGTTCAACACAGAGCAGAGCATCCAGGTGCAAATGGGGATTTCTCTACCAACCTTCCCCACCCACAAACTGTAGAAACTGATTTGAGGGGGGAACTTACCGCCAAAAGCAGCCTTCACAAAAAAACCATTAAGCATACTTCACTAACATATAGTGTCCCAACAATTTGTGTAAACCTATACTTTCTTTGAGAAGATATGCGTGAGCCGTTCTGATTGAGTGCATGTATGTCATACACCATGAATGTTTCCTTTGCTTGCATGCAGATTCATTTTGGCATAGCACGATACCTGCAACCACCGACGGCTCTGTTAAAAGCGTAACTAGCTAAGCTTAGGAGCAGGGCTGATTTTATCAGGGTAATTACCTTGATTTCAGGGTGATTTCAGACTAGTCAGTTGGTGGTCCCTGCAATTTCAGAATTTCTGACTTGTGAACACTGATCCATTCAGAATAAAGGTTTAGCAGACCCTGAAAACTTGTATCCAAGCTCAGTGTAGTGTTATTATGGAGTCTGTCACTACTGAGTGCGCACTCTGTGGACTCAGAATGCGAGGGTATTGGGACGAAGTTGTCAAACATTGCATGTTTATATTGTCTAGGCTGTAGTGGGTTACACCTTAGGGGGTACACAAAGTTAGGGTTTACTACTTGTACCAAACTCTGTTCTAGTTCATTCATTCCTGCTCAGTTATTTCTGACATGGTTTCAGAGCAGGTCCTTCGCTAGGACTGTTCTTAGGGCCCACCGACTTACCTACCTGCTTACCTTCGCTTGTTTCCGGCCCCGCTGGCCCCGTCGATCTAGCAAGATCTAGCGGCCCTGCGGCCCCGTCGAAATTTTTTTTTAGCGGCCTCTCACGGCCCCCGTCGCGTCGCCCCTTAGCGCCCCGATCGGCCCCGTCACGCCGCCCGCGAACCGCACAGCGCGCCGCGCTCACAGCCCGCGAACCGCCCGCGCACAGCCCGCGACCCGCCTGCGCAGCCCGCGACCAGCCCGCGCAGCCCGCGCACAGCCCGCGAACTGCCCGCGAGCAGCCCGCGACCTGCCCGCGAACCCCCGCGAGCCGCCCGCGACCCGCTTACGCAGCCCGCGCAGCCCGCGCTGAGCCTGCGCGGCTCGTGCGCTGACCGCCGCCGGCCCGCACGCTGCCCGCACTGCTCCCGGCCCGCCGCTGCTGAGCCCGCAGCCGCCCGCGCACCGCCGCTGCTGAGCCCGCCGCCGCCCGCGCACCGCCGCTGCTGAGCTCGCCGCCGCCCGCGCACCGCCGCTGCTGCGCCCGCTGCCGCCCGCGTATCACCGCTGCTGAGCCCGCCCCTGCTGCGCCGGCTCTCGCTGCCGCCTGCTGCGCCTGTGCACCACTGCAGATCCTACTACTACACTTCCTGCTACTGCTGCTTGTGCGCCACTACAGTCTGTAGGCCCCACCGGCCCTGCTGACCCTGCGCACGCCTGTTCAGTGACTTTACTGCTTCTACTACTGCCGCTGTCGCTATGGCTAGTCCTCCTGTTCTAGCTTTCGACGCCGAGGGCCGTCCGGTCAAATTCGAAACCTGGCTAGATGATCTGCACCTTTTCCTACAGCTCACTGCCAAGGAAGATATTACACTGTACGACCACGCTCTCGGCCATGCGACCGCCCCACTCGCTACTGCCCCCCCAACTGAGCGCTCACAGTGGCAGACCCGTGACGCGCACGCTCGCTTTGCTATTCGCAACTCCCTGCCGCTAGATGAGCGCGAGCACTTCGGCCAGTGCAAGACTGCTAAGGACCTCTACACAGCTGTAGTGGCCCGCTACTCCTCACCCGCTTCTGCCACACTAGGCCGCCTCACTCTCCCCTACCTGTTCCCCGACCTAGCCTCTTTTCACACTGTCGCAGACCTCATCACCCACCTTAAGACTAGTGAGGCTCGCTTTCGCGCTGCCATGCCTGATGAGTTCCTCGCTAGCAACCCCCCCCCGCTCTGGATCACTCTCTACCACGTTGTCACCCGCCTCCCTGACTCTCTGCGCCCTGTCAGGGACCAGTTCCTCTCTCGCTCCCCCACTGAGCTCACCATAGCCCTCCTCGAGAAGGAACTGCTTGCAGCCGAGGCTAGTATCGTCGCTGTAGGCACCTCTCGTGGCGACCCCCGCGGCCCCTTCTTCGAGGGGTGCTCCCCTTCCCCCCTCCTCCCCTCTGTCGCCTCTGCTGCTGCTGTCGACCTCCTTGGTGCTGAGAAGGTCGGGGCTGCGTCTGCTTCAGGCGGACGACGCAGGGGCAGGAGTGGCAGGAGTGGGGGTGGTGGCGGAGGAGGCGGGGGTGGAGGTGGTGGCGGTGGAGGTGCGACTGGAGAGGCTAGTGGCGGCGGTGGTGGAGGTGACAGCGGTGTTGGGAGTGGTGACAGGGGCGGAGGTGGCAGCGGAGGCGGAGGTGGTCGTGGCAGCGGCAGGGGTGGAGGTGGCCGGGGCGGAGGCGGAGGGGGTGGTGGTCGTGGAGGCCCGGCGGGCGGTCAGAGTCAGCAGCCTGCCCCGACCCTTCAGGCCGCCCGTGAGTGGTATGCGCGGCGCAGCGTCACCTGCCAGTACGTTATTCGTACAGGTGACCGCACTGGCCAGACGTGTGGGGGGCCGCACCAGACGGAGCGCTGCTTCGCCCGCCTCAACGATGCGTGGCGCACTCAGTTTCCTGGTGGGGGTGAGCTGCCGCGCTGGGCACTTGACTTTGATGCTATTCTCACTGCCATGTATGCGATGTCTATTAGTGGAGAGGGTGCTCAGTACTTGCGTGTTCCGCCCGACCCGGGCATTCAGGCCAGCCCTGCTGCTGCACTAGGTGCTAGTGTGTCTGCTTCCACAGGTACTACTGCAGCTGCTGCTCTAGGTGCTTCTGCGTCTGTGCCCCCTGGTACTGAGTCGACTGCAGCACTGCACACCTTCACACTTGACTCAGGTGCTTCTCGCTCTTTCTTTCGTGACCGCACTGTCCTTGAGCCTCTAGCTCGGCCGGTTGCTGTCTCTCTTGCTGACCCCTCTGGGGGTCCGGTCCTTGCGACCTCCTCCACCACCCTTCCGTGTCCAGCGGTTCCGTCCGGCAAGCTCTCAGGTCTCTACCTCCCCTCGTTCTCCACGAACTTGGTGGCAGGTAGTGCGCTCCAGGACTCGGGTGTTCACCAGTTCACCCCTGCCTACGAGCGTGTGACTCACTGCACGTGTGCTCGGACGGGCCGCCACCTGGCTACTTTCACTCGAGAGCCGGGGTCTGACCTGTACACACTGACCACTGAGTCCCCTCAGGTAGCTGCGTCTGCGTCAGCGTCAGGTCAGCTGTCCGCCCCCTGCTCGTGTCGCTCTCTGGCGAACGACACCGTCCTCTGGCACCACCGCCTTGGTCACCCGTCTGTGCAGCGCCTGCGGGCCATGCACAAACGGGACCTTGTTGCTGGTCTTCCCAGGGTGCTCCCTCCCCTTCCTGACTCCCCTACTCCTGACTGCATTCCCTGTGTCGAGGGGCGGCAGCGCGCCGCTCCTCACTCCTCCTCCTTTCCCCCGACGACCGCTCCCCTGCAGACGCTCCACATGGACGTGTGGGGCCCAGCCCGCGTCCGTGGTCAGGGTCAGGAGAGGTACTTCCTGATAGTTGTTGACGACTACTCGCGCTACACCACGGTCTTCCCCTTGCGCGCCAAGGGTGA